GGTTTAGAATTTTTTAAAATTTATTCGTAATTAAGGGATCTATTTCTGTTTGCCAGGGGTAAAGTAAATCCGAGATATTAACGGATTTTGATCAGTTAAATTGAGGATAACTCTTCAGATATTAGTTAGAGATATATCTCCAGGCCTTTTAACGGAATTCTTACTATTACAGTAAAGATATTTCGGTTTGCAGGTAACCACAGCATTTCAAAACTGCTTTTCTGGAGACTCTCCAATAACCAGGACCAGCAGAAGTGATCACTTGGAGAGAATAGTATCCACGGTCTGCCTCAAATCGACTTTTGTCCCTCAGTGGCTGGAGGAACATCGGAAAGCCCCTCTGCCCCTGACAACAGTTAGTACTTACATTGATTCAGTTGTTTCACATTCTATAAATTATGATTTAAAAAAAAACTATAACATATTAAACGAATAGTTTCTTCTTAGGTTGTTTACAGAAATAATAAGTTTGTAAAAAAATATAATAACTTGTGTTATATAAATGTTTTTATTCCAGAAAAAGAAATCCCATAATTACAAATCCGGCATAACACACGACGTATCTTTCCAATTAACGTGAAAAATTTGCAGTATTGGTATATTCTTAGAAACAGCTATACATATAGACAAAAAAAAAAAGACCCTAACCCACACTTGATTAACAGTGTACCCATGTTAACACACAAAACGATACCCCTTTCTTCACGAAAATCCTGTTCACAGTTAACACCCAAACTAATAGTCTTATTATAGAAGGCTTATTGGTCAACTGAAAAAAGCCACTGTATACTAAAGCAAAGAACTGGTAATAGAAACCTGATTACGTGTCCAAAATGATAAATTATCCTCGTTAATACCGCCCCTATTTCCGGGAATTTTATCCCACCCATTATCCAGCTGAGTATAAAAATCTGGAGTACAGACGTTCTTCAGATACGCGCTATACTTATTAAACCATACCGATACGGTAACTATCCAATATCAAGGAAAACTTTCTGTCTGTCTGTGGACGCATCTCCTCCTAAATTAGTTGACCGATCGAGACCAAACTTGGCATGCTAACTTAGTAGTCCAAAAACATTCATATTAAACTTTCCCATATATTGACAACCATTTTAAATAATAATTTATAAATCATTTTTATATCACGAGGAGTTTCCTTTCTACCGTTTCGTTCACTTTTGTTAAGTTACGTAACAGCCATTAAAAATATTTGTAGGATGAAAGAAATAATGCATTTCTATAACATGACTTATCTTTTGACAGATTAGAGTATAGCCCTAATCCTATAATAATCGTCCAGTTTCTCTGTTTAAAAAAATGTACTGTTTAATAAGTTGCTTTAAAACCATTACTAGGTTATAAAAACAACGTATTTCTCTAAATCTTCAGGTGATTAGTTTGGCTGCTTTGGGGCGAATGGCGTGCGTTATAGGGGAAGTTCAGCGCCCTCTACCGACGTGGGAATTAGCTTTTTCGGTGAGATCTATTTTCTGTATTACCCACTAATTCTTTGTCATAACATACATATACACAATCAGGTTTTGGTTTCGTTCTACGCACATTTCACCCGAAAAAAAAAGTTTAAACATTGTTTTCAGCTAAATAAGTATTTGAATATTTTAAAATAAATCAACGCGGTAAAGAACGTTTACTTATATTTTGTAAGTAAAACAATGAAGAAGCGTGTAGAATTATGAGAAAAGCACTTAAATCATAAACGGTTTCCGACCTGTCTTCACACGTGTTTACCATACCAAACTTCTGTCTTCAATCGTCTCGCCCCCCAGTGGCACAGCGGTATGTCTGCGGACTTACAACGCTAGAAACCGGGTTTCGATACCCGTGGTGGGCAGAGCACAGATAGCCCTTGTGTAGCTTTGTGCATAATTTAAACAAACAAACAATCAATCGTCTCATCTACTCCCGCTGCTTAAGCACACATAAGATTCAGGTAGAGCCGTCCCTAATTTTGAGCTAGAGGGAAGACAGCCAGCAGCACCCACCGCCACATGGATTTTTTTTTTTTTTTTTGGAAAGAATGCTTACAAAATAATTCAGAAATATTATAAAAAAATACATCACTAAAACTACAAGGCCTGGTGTTTAAGGTGCTCGACTCGCAATCCGTAGGTCGTGGGTTCGAATCCCCGTCACCGAATGTGCTCGCTCTTTCAGCCGTGAGGGCGTTTTTATGTGACGGTCAATCCCACTATTCGTTGGTAAAAAAGAGTAGCCGAAGAGTTGGCGGTGAGTTGTGTTCACTATTTCCTATTATTCTATCACTGCTAAATTAGGGACGGCTAGCGCAGATAGCTCTCGTGTAGCTTTGCGCGAAAATCAAACCAAACAATAACACTACAACTTTTGTCGACTATAAACACACTTGACGTCATTACAACAATTACTTCAAATGTTTGTTTTCAATCTCAAATACAAAATTACGGACATGAAACCAGAAAACTGTGTAACATTAAATACAGCAACCTGTGTTATTAGTGTCACACTATGACACATAAAAAAATCATTCATATGACACACTAGTTACTTGGTGTGGAGAAAAAAAAAGACAAATGTAGAATTGGCTTTAAATATTTCCTGTTGTTAATGCTAAATACTCATGGAAATAATGAAAAAATGTACTACTGTTTGGTTTAAACACTATAAGCAAAGTACGGAAGTTTCTGCTTTTTTTTTCCATCTGTAATTTGTTTAGCATAAATTGTATTTTTGTAAGAATTATTTTTCAATGTTTCAGTTTAGTTTGTTTTTTTAGAGGGAGCTGCTAACATGATGAGTAATGTTTAGAAACGAGGATACATTATAAATACAAGAATCAGTGAAGCATTGAATAAGTTTTCGGTCCGTTGAGTGAAGTATTTAAATTTTATTCACATGCTACATAAACCGTATGTTCTAAATAAATAATTTATTTTTAAACTGCAGTATTTATCTAAAGAGACACAAAGCAGGAAAGATAATGTTTATAGAAGTCGTACCCCCTCTAGCAGGAAAGAAATATTAATCATTAATAAATAAGATAAACGTATATAAATTTATGAAATTACAGCATGTACTATATTTGATAATATTATCTGATAATTATTTCGTAATATTTTTATTTATTTCTACTAACTGTCAAAAATATATAAGGAAATCGTATATAAAATAGATAGTTTTTGAAACGAACATTAAACTGTTTAAAAAGAGTTATTTTGTCTTAGATATAAAAATGTAATTCCAATAAATATTTACCCCTACATAAGGTATTGGATATTGACAAAAATTAATGTTGACTTATTCAGATATCTATCGATTAGCTGTGAAACTGTGTAATTAATTCCATTTGTACGTTATTCGTAGTACCAATAGACAGTAAAGTTCTATTGAAAGTGAATACGTTATTTGTTAACTTAGGCCTACAACTGTGTGCGAGTGATAGTAGCCCGTAGTAACCGTTAACGAAGAAATAAACTAAGTTATTATCGTTACGTATACTGCACCCTGCATTATTCTTACCAAATAATTTAAAATAACAACAATAATTTTGCACACGACGCATGTTTGTACCATTTTTTGCCAAATTTAACTTTTATTTTTAATCATGCAGAAATGTTTTCCTCCTGAAGATGACGTAACAGAATCCGAGTCTCGGTAAGTGAGTAAAACGTTTGAAATAAGTTTAAGCAACAATGCTATAAAAACTGGCGCTGCCGGATATCCCTCTCTTGCTGTACAGAGATAAGTAGTGTGATATTTAACATAATTTGATCAATTTGTAACTTAGATGATAAATTAACGAGTGAATGGAAATTTGGGTTTATATCATGTT